TTTATTCTAAAATTATCTCACCCTCTCCAGTCTCCTCTCGCAATGTGCGTGCTACTGCCAAATCAAAATGACCCTGTTTTGATTGACAGACAACAATAATTTTCTTGATACATCCAGTTGCAAACACTCTGGTTGGCCAGCGTGGATCCACTTTAGGGTGTGTTTCCTCAGGAGCTTCTCCAGCTGTCATTCCTCCACCTTCGTCAGTATCACCTTCACCTGCCTCTTCACCCTCTGTTTGTTACAAAGTTAAAAAAACCAAAAAAATTATATTTCATTAAATATTCTGATTCAGTTTTCATGGGTAAAAGCTTTCCTTCCAAGCTCTGAATGTTGCAATGAGCATGTATGCTTAAGACCATACATTCATTGGGACAATCCACCTATAGAGTATTTTCACATGATATTAAAGTGGTTATGTTAGTATACCAAAACAAAAACAGGTCAATATTAATGTACCAAAACAATAACACCCCAACCATGCTGAACTACTTCATGTAAATATATGAAAGCACTCTATATCACTATGCACACCCCACCCAAAGGGATTGTCTGAGCTCTTGATCAAGAATGAGGGATCCATGTTCAAGACTAGAGGTGTCAGTAGTACTTCACATGGGCAAAGTCTTCAAGTAAAAAAAATATTTTTGATTTTGAAAGTGAAAAAAGTAAACTCTTTGCTTATTAAACCCCTCTGCACATCCAATTCCTTAAGCAAAATATTTTGAAGAGTATTTCAACCTTGTTCTTCATTCCTCTTTTGAACTTCTGGTCCTTTCGCTGCTTTGCTGCTTTTGGATGCAGACAGCACATCCCTACAGAGGCCCAGCCAATGTGTCAGGTTTTGAGCTGCAAGTGTCTGCAGCATGCTGTTCAATGTGTCATGAATATCAGATCTCATGCGTGAGTCTGTTTCTGTGTCCAACATACCAAACAGTGCCCCTGATACAGAAAAACTTGGATGAGTAAGGGGATAAAATTTAGGTGTGGTAATGTGAAATCCATGCAAAGCATTTAAAAACACATCCATGAAGAGTAAGGCTAATTAATAGCCTGGTTAACCTAAAAATTTAACCTTCTTCTAGATGGATCCCTTTAGGACAAACATCATGAGGTTAAAGTGTCTCCTTCATCAAGTAGAGGTGATTAAAAATTTTCAGAGTCATTTCAGTAAAGTGGCAAAATGAGTTGACTGTGTAGTTACCTTAATAATGTTACTTGCTACTTTGTGTTTGTGTAATATTCAGATCACCTCTTGTCATCACCCTCAATTTCTTCATGAGGGCTCTTATGTGCTGACTTAATCTACATACAATTTTTTTGGCCCATAAAGGCAAGGAAATACACACACAAAAATCTTTCACCTTCCAGGCCTTTGTCTCCTATGACAACAGCATAACTGGACTGTTGTTGCTTATGAAGCTCCTCTCCAGCAGCTGATGCATGTTCACAAACTTCTTTAGCTTCACGTTGGGACAGTTGACGCAGGCAGGCTACTGTGGCTCTCCGCAACAATAAGTGAGGACTTGACAGGTTGGCACAGAGTTTACGGACCACAAGCCCTAGGTTGATATGACTTGGAGCAAACACATGAAGTTGTTGAAGGCAGTTAATTGCTTCTCCTTGTACTAAGGAATCTGGATGGTTTTGCATGATGGCACATGCCACAATGCAGGACAGGCGCAGATCTCTTATAGACTTTGAAGTTCCTAAAATCAAGAGTTTGTAACTTGTATTTATTGAGAATAATTTAATTGGATCTTGTCTATCAATTAAGATTTCAGGGAGGTTTTAGGAGCCTTAAAGGAACAGGAATGGCACAGTGGTTCTCATCCTTTATTCAGGGGTTTTTTTCTCCCAGTTCTCCACTTTCCCACCCTTCCTAAAAACCAACACTACAAATTCTAGTTACCAATTATACCTAACAATGGTGATAAAGATGAGCGACCTAACCTAACTGCTACATCTGAATTACCTGATATGCAATTTTAAAAAGCTTCATTCTTATATAAAGTAGATATTTAATCTCAGTCTACCCTGGATTATGATGAAAAAGTCAAGAGTTGATGGATATTGTACAACCCATAAATAACCCTTTGAGCCCATAGTACAATGCAATATGTTCAAGACCTGAACATACTGCATTGTTTATAAGGTTATTTAACAGTTGTACCAAATCCAACAAATCTTGACTTTTAAACTCTACCTGGTAGAGTTCAACTCTTTTACCTTGCAATTCAGGTCCTATTGAGGTGATAAGTGCTGCTAAACACTTTCCAAGACACTGGTGAACCTCTGTGATGGCTGGTGGGACAGTCATTACCAGATCAACAACTTGCTCCAATGTTGGATTAACATAGCTTCTAAACATTGGCCCTCCACAGTCAGCAATAAGGGCTAAGGCATGTAGTGCCCATACCTGGGTCAGGCAAACAAAATCATGAAACTTAGATGACTGCATTATTACTAACAAATATGATACAAAAAATCTACTTGTCATTTAGGTTTTTTTAATGTTTTAAAAGAGATCTAAGACTTTGTAGTCAAAATCTTGGCCTAGTGATCCACAGTGATGGCAGGAGCTTGTTCCAGTTTCCCTAGCACAGGTGTGTAAAAGTATCATTTCTCTCCCAGGAGGAGATACCTGTCCAGCCCAAATTACACCCCTGGATTTTGTCAGGCTTCCCTATTACATTGCTGGTACTGGTGCCAGTTTATAATACTCCTAGGTGGACTGTGAGAGTAAACTGTCTTGCCCATTAACACAACATGATGACCAGACCAATGCTTGAACCCTGATCTCTTCACTTGGTGTCCACTGCCTAAATGTTAGGACACTGCATCTCTCACTTGTTAAACATAGCAGTATACATTGCACATACCTGAACCAAAGATGATGAATTATCCTTAGCTAAGGCAAGAAGTATGCTGACACTGCTGTTAAGATGATGACCTGAAGCCATTCCACCCACATAACGATGGATACAGCCCAGAGCAACAGAGTAGCCTGTTCTGGACACTGCATCCCTTGCTGCCTTCAGTTGGTCAAAGATCTTCTGAGTGATGTTTGAGGTGAGAACAGGGCTCCCAACAGCTTGTGCAATGCGACCCAGGGCTTCTCCTGCAGCACAGCGAACAATAGGGTCTGAATTTGTTATGGCATTCTGTTGATGTAATGGGGCAACGAATAAGTAAATAAATCAAGCACTATTAATGAAGATATCTAGAGTAAAAGCAGAATATTATAACACTCCATAATGTCTTCCAACTAAAGGAATGCAAAGGTATGAGACTTTTGAAAGGGTTACATATGGAGTCAGAGTGATGTAACTGTGTGCTAGCTGCACTGTAACCATAGCAACCTTGTAAATTTAATAGATAGACACTTTCAGTACTCACCATAACTAAATTAACAGCTGTGGTCTTTACATCTTCATCACCCAGACCAGTTTTTGCTTCAGCAATACCCTAATGTAAGAAAATAATAAAATGGACAAGAACTTCCATGACTCTAGTCTCCCTTTAAGCATCTCTAAGATTTCTTCAAACTTTTATTTCATCAGGAAACACGTCAACTATAGAATCAGGTGAGAAAAACTATTGTCTCCACTGGCATTAGTTTGCTACTAATTAATTTTAAGTCAAAAGGAAAGGAAAAATACTAAATTCAATTTAATGCTTAAAAATTAAACTTAAGATAGTTTTAAATCCCTTGGTGTGCCCAGCTTACCTTTAAAGAAAACAAAAATGCTGTTAACACATTTGTTTGTATTGCTTGTTGTCTGGAGGACTTTGCTTGACGAATACACTCAGCAAAATGAGATAATAACTGGCTACGATGCTTTTGAGCCACAAATGGGAACACAGTTCCAAACAGTTTAATTGACTCATCAATAACAGCCACACCCAAAGGTAATGGACCAGGAATGTCTTCTCCCTAAAATCGGTGACAGAAAAAAGATTGCATTGAAAAAGAAAGGATCTAAATTTTGAGCTTAGTTGTCAAATAAAATTAGATGTTATTCATTCTGTAATGAGTATGAGACAAAGAAAAAATCTGGGTCATTTACAAGGAATCAATATTAAACCCTATGAGAGATTTTTCAGACTCACTCAGAAAATTTTTCTACCTTTTCTAGAGAACTCAGTGGTGGGCATGGCCATTACTTTGTTTACATATGTTTATGACAAGCATGTTTAAAGCACTTTGTGAGTAAAGGATAGCAGCTGCTGTAGGTTTGAGAGGAAGCCACACTTAGAGCCCACTTACCACTGGACAGCGTTCAAATATACAAGAGGGATCATGTTCTAAAGATCCTGACCCTGATGCACTGTTAGTTTGTAGCTGAAAGATTAAAATTGAAACAATCATTACTCTTTGATGATCTATCTATTCAAATATATTATATCTTAGGGACTCTTGAAAACTGCTGAGGGGTAAGTAGTCTGAATAGACACTTTATTTTAACCTTGATAGAAGCTTGGTCAGCCTCTGGCAAGTTTGACCACCTTGAACCGGTGATTATATCTCTCCATGGCTAAATTTTATTCTGTTCCTCAAAACTCATTGTAGTGTTATGATTTGAAATGGTAAGAGGAACCTGATTAATTAGACTGTTTTGTTTTGTAAAAACATACAACAGTCCTTGGGAAGAATTAGTCAAACAAAGTTGTGTCACAAACCTGCTCCTCCACAAACTTGTGGTCTGTTTCTTGAAGCCATGACCCAAGAAGAATAGAATCATCTTTATGGCACACAGTTTTTAACAAAGATGTGGTTGTCATAGCAGGATTTTCTGCCAAAGTAAACTCTGCAACCAAGCTACGTAGCAAAGAATGAAAACTTCCTACAAGATTAAAAGCAAACATTTTAGAGAGTTGACACCTATCTGAAGTACATGATTTACAGTTTAGCTTTTACATTTAAAGCATGAGGACCATGATGAAAAACAAATTAAACAAACAAAATTTTATTTGCTAAATAATTCAGTATGACTCTGACACTCACAAACAACACTATCATTCTCAATTCACCAATGAAAACAAATCATAAACATCTTCCATTTATAAAGATGGATCCTGGCTAATGAAATTTAACTGTTCATCTCATACGCACCTTAGGAAATAAAAGCAAATCTGAAAATATGAAATAGGTTTTGTAAACATAAAGTACATGGATACCTTCATAAGATTTTGGTGGAAGAAGAGTCAGCACTGAGTACATTCTCAGTCGCACAATAGCAGCACTTGCTTTCAAGTGATTTCCATGCTGCTTGATGATCTGAGGTAGGCTGATCCAGAGAAAGAAAAAAAATAATGATAACAAGGCCAAAGGTAATTTAGGCAAAATTTTAAAAACCTAAGTTTATATTTTGTGGTTTTGCCAATGAGGTGGGGAGGACCTAAAGGAGGTTTGCAGGACTTTGGCTCTGTTGCCATGGTGACCTCCCTGCTTATGAGAAGAGGAGATAACTGCCGTCTTCTATTACAACATTTATGGCAGCTACCCACCATACCAGTGAAAAAGTGTATCAGTGGTGGACTAAACCAAAATCATTTGTAAAAATTGAAAGCACAATCACCAAGCAATGCAATAGCCTAAGAAATTGCAATCAAACTCATAACTCCACTGTAGGTGATAATGAACTAACCTTGGAAGCATTGCTAAACATGCATCAGTAGTAGACAGCAGACGCTTGGTGAGGTCATCATTTAGAAGAGCAGAACAGTTTGCACAAAAACTTGCCATTGCTGCACAACAACAACAAAAGCAAAGTAAATGATTCTGTCAAAATTGAACAAATTATCCTGAAGATGTGGATATCCTGAAGACACTGGACCACAGGGCTTTAAAGCAAAATTTTATTTTATTGAGATCAAGTTGGAGTTTAACTTTCCAATGATAACCAAGTTGTGAAAATTAAATTCCATGTAAATACTTACAACACAGTGCTCCTGCACGACATTCCATTGTGACATGCCAAGTGTATGCATCACCTCTGGTCTTCTCCTGATCAAATTCCTTCACTGTCTTTGGAAAAGCATTTGTCCACAGAGCAAGCATCTGTGGCAAGTGGTGTTTGACGACTGATGGTCCTACCAGATAAAATAACAAGTTGAACAAGTGTCACTTTAATTTACCATTATTCTTGTTGAATTTGATCTTAGATGTACTGTATTACAAAATGAGTGCAATGACATTTGAAAGCAACATGCTTCATTTTCACTTTATAGTTTGAGAGCATGTAAATTAAAAAGACAAAAGAGAGATTGAAAGAATCATTCAGTTCAATGAGATCAACTGACAATAAACCATTTTCTCAATAAGCAGAGCAAAAATAAAAATAGATGTGAACATAGCAGCTACAGCTGTACATGTGATCAGAGTAAAGGCAAACATCTCAAAAAGCCAAAAGGAACTTGATGTAAAAACAAACACACTGTCAGTGTACAAACCCTGGGAATACTAAGTGACCACATTGTGATTGGTTTTAGTTTTGCAGTGACTGATTAATGGGGGAGGGGTGCAAGTTTTCAGGAAAAATCACAGAGGAAAGCAAAACAAAAACCAGTACAGCCCTAGATTATTTTTGAAAATGAAAACTGCTCTATCCATTAAACAGACTTCTCACCTAATGTCATCAATGCTCCCAAGAGTATCCATCCAGCTTTAGCTTTGTGGAGAGCAAGTCTTGGATTCTGATTAGCAGTTTTTAGAAGCTCGTTTGCTACATTAAATACAACCTGAAAAAAAAAATATGAAGATGTTTGTGGGACATCAACTAATGGAGAACCTGTTATGTTCATTTCCAAAAAATATCAATGCTACATAGTTATTACATTTCAGATTTGTACATACAATGTTATATACTTCTTTGGAGATAATCAAAGAAAATTGCATGTCATGTTGGCTTTATACTAAAGGAAACTGACTAATATCTAATTAATTAGGCCCCTGATAAAAAGGTAAATATTGCAACATGCCTTAGAAAACATGCTAATTAACATTTAAATAAACATATAAGAATATAAAATGGCCTTTAGTGCTGGAAACACTACTTATTAAGTTGCAATTGGTTATGGTTTTGCATCTGATTTATTGCGAGTACGGCATGAGTTTTTTATATCACTATAGAGAGTAGTGAAACAAAACCAACACAATACTGGATTAATTTCTTCACTCAGTTGAGAATTTTTCTCAATCAAAAGTGTGACTGTACCTTTCCTTTAGCATGAGGGATACCAAGAGGACACTTATGAACTCCTCCAACAAGAGCTGCTAAAGTATGGGCATAACCTCCAACTGCTTCCCCAGATGACTTGAGGGAACTGATACGATTGATACACCGGTCAATGAGTGGTGTTGCCTGTGATGGAACAGCAACTGTGATGCACCTCAGACACCAGGCAGCAAGCAGTTGAGCAGCAGGAGCTGGGTGCAGCAACACTGACAGAACATGATCCAAGAGGTTCTCCTGAATAAGAGACATGGCTGTGGTACTGAGCCCTTGAACTAAACATCCCAGTTCTTGCAGAGCACACACAAGAACGTGTTGAGTGTTGATCACATCATCTGTGTTCTGAATAACACTAGCTGAACTGCTGCCATCTGATGCACTATGCACAGAATCGTTCACTTTATTCATTTGCTTTGTTATTAAGCTGCACAGTTCCTTTGCTGCATCTAACTGAGCTGGTTCACCAAGATGCCGTCCAAGCACAGCCCGCAGAATAAATGAAATAGAACGTCTGGAGTACACTGCATCCACATGGGTTTGAGTGGCTTTAGGACTGGAAAGGAGCTCCAGAACATTTTTCAAGATCAAGCTGATGTTCCTCTGCACCCACAGGCCTCCCATCTCAGTAAAAAATATCACATAGGCCTGAAAACAAAATTAGAGTTCATTAGAATTTCCTTTGATTTAAAGCAATTTTGTATGACACCAAAAAAACCCAAATTTCTGTGACATGATTACCCACGATTTATAAAAGTGGACATATTCTCCAGCATTTCTTTTTAAATGAAAGTGCTGTGAAATGTTTTAGTGTGTTGTTGTTGACAAAGCTCCTACAAGATAGCTTCTATAGCTTGATAAACTTCTCACTTAAATTCCACACCTGAGTAACTCCAACTCTCACTTCTCGTGGAGCAATACTCTTCAACAGCTCTCCTCCACTTCCCTTCAAAAATCCAATTCCTCCCCGCAGGAATCCTCCAGACATGTAGGCAAACACTTCTTCCAGACTACATGTCTTCTTGTTCTTTCCAGCTGCTGCTGTTACTGAAGAAATCTGTTGCGTCATGGCCATTAATGTACCAATCAGTTGAGCAACACAGACTCGTACATCATAATTAGAACCCTCCAAGGCTTTAAAACATGTTGATATTACACCCTCCAATTCAGAAGTGTACAGGAAGTTGGCATGTTTCATTAACTCCAATGCACACTGAAATGTAAAGAAATTCTTGAAGGTTATTGCGCTTCAGTATGACACATCTCTGCAACTGATGAGAGACAACAAGATTTACATTTTCACAGTTTTTTAAATTTTCACTGAGGTGCTACAAACCTATTACAAATACTAATTTAGGTGATGTACTATTTCAATAAATTTTTTAGCAGTTTTTACAATTCCTTTCAATCAAATTTTAATACATTTCTCTCAATTTACAATTTTTCCATTTTGGTCACACAAGTTTCTCTTGGCCACCTCGTGGACACACAAGATTGCCACAACTTAAATTAGAATCTCAGAACACAATTAGTCTTTTAATTTCACTTTCAATTTCTAACCATACCTGACTCACTGATTAGACAACCTTACATTTATATCAGAGTCATGTTATTTTCCTTAACACCAAAAACATCAAATTTTCCTACAATGACCTTGCACAGGTTGTTAAAACATGATCTAAAACTAAAGACAACATTCCCTTAAGGATTTTTCTCACCCAGACAATCAGACCACACAATCATGTGTTGCCACTAAGTTCAAACCATTCACTATAAAAAGTCTTCGTAACTAAGAGAAAGCATTCACTTTCACAATTCTCCCCTCTGGCTGCTACACATTTGCCTGTAAATTGGTTACGAGAATTTGGTGTTCAGTCAAGGCAATATCTTGTACCTGATAAGTTTGAGTATTCTCATTACCTGTTTGCTGAATAAGATATGGATATTATAGGGAGAAGTTACATGTTGATCACTTCTGGGAGTTAAAGGGGTTAATGGTGGCCAATTTAAATGTCACTTCAGTTGATAATACCAAATTACCTTGTAGTGACTGGGAGGCACAAGTTTGAATTGAGTTGAGGTCTGAATTTCTTTACACTTCTTTTCCACAACTGCTAGCTTTCTACTTGTGTGGATTATTTTTTTGCATAATTTATAATACCTTTGCGGCTGCACATCTAACTGACATGCTTCTGTCTGTCAAAGCTCCTTTTACAGCTTTGTAAATATCTCTGTGTAAGGCTGCTCCATTACTACCTAGACCACTTAAAACTCGCTGCAGACTCAGCATGATTTCACAGCGTCCTTGAGACTGCAAGATAAATCATGCAAAATAAACCATTTACTGACAGATAATTAAATATTCTCTGTCTTGTAAATAAAGAGCAAGTGAATTAAACTTTAAAAAAATTTCCAGCAAGATTCTATTTCAGAGGAATGTCATGAACTCTTATCAAGTAGAAACATGATCACTTATACCAAATAGTTGATTGTATATTGCTACAATGAAATGAATAAATCAAAGCCTTAGATACCTCAGCATTTTTCATTGCTTTGATTAGAGTCTGCACAGTCTCCTGATAAGATCCACCAGCCTGAGAAAATACAAGATGAAATGAAAATCACCCGTGATTGATACCTTTTTCAGTAAATATAATTCCTCCAAGTTTAATATTGAAACATTTTGAGACAATTGCAAAGTTGTGATAAATTCAGATTACCATTCGTCCTAGTTTCTCATAAATGGCACCAATGCATGTTACTGCAGACCTGACAACACAATCAAAACATTTCATTCAATATAAATATTATTACAAGAACATGACAAACCTTTCCCACATACAGGCACAGATGAAACTTATTTTTTTTAAGGATTGCATTGCTTAAGACCAAAGTAGCACTAATCCTGTGATAACCAAGTTTGTACAAAACCTAGGTGTTACTATGGCATTTAAATCAAAACTGAAGCTAATTCTGCTATAAACAACCTAGCCACACAAATACTTGATTTGAAACATTCATATAAAAACAATTATCACAGGGTAACCAGAGGTGAAAAAATAAACACTGTTCCTTGCATCAGTATGCATTGTCTCCATACTGCTCTCTAATCAGTTCCCAACTCAGGTACTTCCCAGGATAATTTGTCTACTAATCAAGACCTTCTTGAATTTGTAATAATTTCTTTATTTTTGTAACCTTAATGTTTGATTCAGGGGTGAGTGTTAGGAGAAATAAGATGCCTCATACTCTTAAGGGTTAAAGGTTTAAGCTTACAGTTTTATTGGAAGGTAAGACTGTGAATCATCCTTGTACTTGATGGTATCACTGCACTTGTTGACTGTTTCATACAATGTTGTGGTGTTACCAATACTGTACAATAGTGCAAAGCATCTGGAGAGCAGCTGTCTTGTTGGAGGTCCAAGGACTATAGTCAAGTGCTTTGAGAGTTGTTCCTCAAGCTTCTGTTGACAATTTTTTACCTCTGTCTATAAAAACCAACACCCACAATCAAGAATTAGGATAATGATTACTGCTTTGATCATTAAATCTCATCATTTGTGTGAGGCATTATTTGGGTGAGGGTGGTCCTAAAAATTACTCTTATCAGCTGAGGTGACAGATTACTTCTGCTCACATGATAGAAATGTCAAGTAATTTATTGTTAACAATTGAGTTGATTAACTAAATTAACCACCGTAAAGAGATTAAAGGTTGATGTTTCCAGCATTAGTCCTTCGTTAGCCCTTTGTCAATCCCTCCGATGAAGGGCTAATGCTTGAAATGTTAACCTTTAAACTCTTAACAGTGGCTAATTTACATTTTCAACTCAGTTGTTAACACTAAATTACCTGTTATACTCTCCCACCCATGCAGCACCACAGTTTCTTTAGGAACTTACTCCCTTTATACAGAAATGTCAGTCAGTCCTACTGATAAGAGTCCTTTTCAGGACTAGGAAAAGGTGGAAGGATAAGTTTCTAAAGAAACTGTGGTGCTGCGTTAATGATTAGGCCTACTGCAAGGTAATTTGGTTTTAATCAAATGAGTTGTTGATGAAAATTGGCCTCCGTAAAGACATTCTAAAGCTTATGTTTCTGGTGTTACCCCTTCATCAGGGCAAATTGTGGCAACCCTATCAACATTTACTTCACAATGAAAACAACTGGAATTTAATAGTTTTTATTGTCAATAAAGCACTGGTTCAGTAAATGGCATGAGTAACTGGATTTATGTTGAATCTCCTTATGCTAGCAAATTCACGTTATCAACTTAGTTGATAACACCAAAATGATCTTTTCAGCTGTCACTCCTGGGTTCCAACCATTTGCTGCATGACTGTTTTGTTAATAATGACAAAATCTAATCCACAAATGAGGGTCGATAATGTTTTGTTTTCATTATAAAGAAAATCATAGTAAATCAACGTAAGGTTGTCACAGCTTTTCCAGTAGGTTACATTTTCCCAACTTCACTAACAAATCAGTGAGAATTATGCGAGCAGAGCAACTAGCCAAAAGCACGTATCAGACTGTGATTTAAAAGTAAAAAAAATAATTAGTGGTTCTAAAAAGGTTTTATAATCTAACATGAAATCGTTATTATCTACCACGATCATCTCATGGTCTTTTTGCAAACGAATTACTGGTACTGGTCGCGCTTGATAGTGGCAACTAGCCCCTATTTCCAAAACAAAAACGATCAGTAGACGTTGCATCGGTAATTTTGCTTAGAAATACCGTGGTAAAGATTGGGAGGGCTTCGTATTTCACATGCGTGTTCACGACACAGATTTACTAAATAATAAGACAATGAAAAACAGCTGAATTTGATAAGTGCTTCTTGCTGCCTCACCTTCTTGACAGTTGTAATGTTATCTTCCAGATTCCTGAGCCATTCGTAGATAAATATGGCTTTTTGATTTGGTGGCGTTCGGCCATAGTCCTCTTCATCATAAGTCAATGTCGGTGTGTCGAAATCCATGTTGTCAGCCTGCCAATTCAACAGAACTTTCCATTTACTGCAAGCTCTTAGAGGTTTGTCGTCGTCCTACATTTTGGCTACAAAAAGTGACAGTTTACATGAATGAAGTATTAGCTCACAAGGGACTACATACGCTGCTTACTTGTGGGCTCAAAATATCAGCGAAAGAAAAAAAAAAAAAGGGAACAGGATGGGTGGAGAGGGTGGGGCGGAGGACGGTCTAGGCAACTGTCCACTGGAATGTAGGATTTCGTTTACAATAAAAGCTAATTAGTTACATTCACGAGTCGCGACAGGAAGTACTTCTTGATAAATGAAAATTTTAGGCTGTTTTGGTGTTGCTCTTTACCTGATTCGTTGTGGTAGTCGAGTTCTTGGATGCACAATGAAGAGCAGCAGAGCGTAAAGGAATTCGTGTTCTAGCAACACAACAAACAAACAGTTGTTTACATACAAGGCCAAACTGAGCGTGGTAAACAGCACGCGCTATGAACATGGATATGTTAGTCTTAACACTTGTTAGCAAAGTTCGTCTTGACTGAGTCTGTACTTGCAGTGTATTTAATAGGATTGACAATTTCACTTAACGATCTGGCGATAGTTTGTCTGCCAAATGTCTGAGGAAACCACTGATCAGCCAGCCCTGCAAAGGGATCAAACAACCCACGATTTTTTGACGGGATTGAAGGAAAGAGAGGAACTGAAAGCGAAACTTCACGAAAGGGAGAAAGAATGTAATTCGCTAAAGGGAACAGTTTATGACATGAGCAAGAAAATGGAGGAATTGGAGAAACAAGTGAGCATAAATATCTGAAGAAACCCTCGATTAACACGATAAATATTTGTTTTTAACGATCCACAGTAAAGCAAGTGATAATTACAGTTGTCTTTGTTTGATAGGTTTGAAGAATTCGTCAGTAATTGTAAGAATGCAAGAGCAGGTGTTTGACCGATCAAACAATTCCTTCCGCGCGCACAACCGTTGAAATTACGAATTGTTTACATTTAAACTACCTCATAATTATGCACATTTAAACACGCCCTAACTTCTAAGGATTACTTGAAGAATTCTTCTCCCTTAAGACGCTGCTTAGCTACAGATATATAACAAATTTATTGATTTCTTTTTTGTTGCTGTTTTTTTCTTTAAAGTTGGCTGAAAAGAATAAGGTAAGTCTTACCCTGATATCTTTTTTTAAAAATTATTTTCAAAATAATCAGATTTACATTTTACAGCAATGTACATCTAGAATTAATTGGAAGTTAGCAGACCCCTCAATTCTTCATAGGATTTTTACAAATTGAAAGTAATCCAAGCAAGAGACTACTGTTTTCTGCTATTGGCTTGCTATCATGTATTTTGATGAATTGAATCAACAATCAACAGTGATATAGTTAAAATTCTCTGTTCACAAATTTGTAGGAAACCAAAAAACGCCGTCAATCAGAGGCAAAAAAACCTAAAAGACCAGCACAAAGAAAAAGAGACAAAGGAACTAAAGGCGCTGAAGAGAAAACTGATGGGAACAATAAAGAGAATATAGACAACCCATTTGATGACCCAGAGAAGTTATACCAGGTGAAACTCTAAACTAAGAAAAACTATGCTGGGTTCAAAATCTACTTGAAAATTAAGAAATTGGGTCATTTTTAACAAACTCAAGAGCACATATTGCAATACCGCTAATTGAGACTGGCTGGTAAATGTTATTGGAATATCACTGCAAGATGAACTAGACAACCACTGACTTGTTAAACCTTTCCGAGAAGACAGGAACTTAAGGTCATGAAAAGCTAAGCAAGTAGATGTTACTGGGGCATGCCTCTGAAAAAAAATAAAAACATGCAACCTGTACATGTATCTTGTCAAAAAATGTGAATTAGCACTAATTGATTTAAGAGCAAATATCTAGTGCATTTTGGCTGAGACCTGTTTCCACATCATTTTGCATTGCTATAAACACTTAGCTTCATTGACAAACCAAAACTGCACGAATATTGAATAAAAAAAATTATGCAGCCACTTGATTGGGGAAGCATGCAAAGCTTCCTTCTCATTGATTGGTGAGATTTCCCCTTTATGGAATTTTGCAAATGAGGTAGTGATTTGAATTAGGTGTCTGCCACATTGCTTGAAAATATCTGTCTCTAGAGTTAATCTCTTGCTTGAATTTTGCAGGAAATTGCCAGCAGATATCCTGATGTTCCTCTAAGTACAGTTCTCATTGCTGAGAAAAAGTTTGTGGAGGCAGATCTTGACAGGAATGGGGTTAGGAAAGTTTTTAAAGTTATGTTGAATTTTTCATTCTATAAGAATTTAGAGGAGCAAATCAATCAAAGGAAAAAAAAACATGGGTTTTTTCAAATATATTTTCTTTCCATTGATACACAAATAAGGATGAAGCCACAGTCAAGGGTTGGGTTGGAAAACACATATTAAACAAGAGGGCTTATAAGTGGGCTTTTATACTCTTAACTTGATTTATCTACATGAATACTGAATGTAGTTAATATGCACATGTTGTATAAATTACTTAATTTTGGTTTTGATTTGTTATAATTTTTTCTCAGACCATAGACAGTGATGAACTAGAAAAGATGTTGGATTTAATAGCTCAGCAGGGGAACTCTATGATGTACACAAAGGCAGATATAAGGGAAAAGATATTTAAGAAGATAGATGTGGACAATACAAATTCCATAGACTTCTTTGAATGTATAGGGGTAAGTTGAAATCTGATTTCCTTCTCTCTTGACTTATAAAAGAGAAAGCTATTTGGTAAAGAAATGCTGGTTGCTGTTTTAGTTCTGAGTTAAAAGCAGTATTAAGGGTAAAATTAAGTTAATTAAGTTAAATAGGTGCTGCCTCAGTGTATGATTGGAGAGGTATTTTAGGAAAGTGTTCCCCTGAGCTGTATGATACATTAACTGATTCAAACATAGTAAAATCATCAAATGGGTCTCTTCTCTTTGGAGCGTGTTTCCAAAAGAAATAATTGAACTTAAGGTCTTCTCCTGAAATTCAGTACAGCTCTAGCAGAGCAACGGGACACTAGGTCAGGGGAAAAAAGGAGAATCAAGCAGTTTTCTCTCTTATTTCAAGAATGATAGGTAAAAGAAAATTTTAGACCTCAGTAGAACAATCATGTTACCTGTTGAATTTTCAAGAATTACAAGGAATTTTAGGGAATAGTAAGAGGTACCACAGGTCTTTTTGTTTGGGTCTTGGTTTCTTGGTCTTGGTTTTCAGGTCTTCACTTTTGGGTCTTAGGTCTTAGGTCTTAGCTTTCGGGGGTCTTCATTTTTGCTACCAGCAAGAACTTTCAATAAAACCTAGTTTTCCTTTTCTTGTCATCCTCAGATTTTAGAGATGGTACGACTAAACAAAAGCACTGATCTGCCAACTGCCTTACAACAGAACAAGAGTGCTGTTTGTGCCATTCAATAGCAAAAGAGTGATCATGTAAAAAATGGATGCAAACTGAAGACTTTGATAATTTAAGGATTTTGTCATTGTTGTTTAGTAATATATTCAATGATAATTTACAGTAGCAAGTAAAATTTTGGAGAGAAACCTTTAAGAAGAATGTGTGTTGGTTAATAGTGGCAATTGCTGCTTTATAGTGCCTTGAGGAGAGTTACAGCTATACCATGTATGTCAGTAATCTCAAGATATTCATTACAGAAAATTAATTCAAAGGTGGCAAGTTCTCATTAGAATTACTAATACTCAACTAATGACAATGTTAAAAAAAACATTTATTTAGTATCCTGTGATAATGAAAACATATAATTTGTTTATAATTTATTCTCATCCAGCATAATAGCCCCCACATATTGGTTGTTTTTTAATGCTGATAATATTGATGAAGGTGATGAAGTTAATAGTAATAATTGTGATAATAACAATTATGATAATGCTGGCAACATTGATTATGATACTTATTTTGATATGTAGTTAGAATTCCTGCCTCATCTTTTGTGGTTTCCAGAGAGCTGGAGGCACTGGGGTAAATTATGAACCATGAATTTATTGATATTTTCAAATGACAAATTTTAAAATCTGTTTGATATATGTCTTTATTTGGAGTCTCAACTCAAGTCAATTAAAAGAGTGTAAATGGCTGTAAAAACGTTTCAAAGGAATCCTGAAGTGGAAGAAATTTGCCCTCTAAATATACTCATCTATTTTGTTAAACTTTCAAGATTTTAGATTTGAATTTGATTGTGGCAAGATTTCTCATCAATAACTAGATTCAATGGGGTTTAAATTGATATGCCTTGAATGTTGCAAGAACTGCGACATACTTTAGAATCAGATATACATTCTATCAATTAATATTATGAAATTTGGATGACTTAAAGATTAATTTGACTATCTCAAGTTATGGAGTATAAATTATTGTGCCTTCTATTTAATTATGCAACCTCACTCACAAAGGCTGTGAGCTGACCAGACCTAACTGTTTTTACTTCCAACTATGGAAAATTTAAGTCATGTTTACATGTACCTTGTCAGTTGCTGTTTTTAAATTATATTCTAATAAAGTTAACATATTTACATCTATATATGTAACTTTCTGATTGTGTCAGGTACGCCGTGTTCAGTTAACCATCAAATCTCTCAGCTGATCCTTCGCCCCGCTCAAATAAGTTTGTTAAGATAAATCAGTATTTTTATACGAAGTATCCATCCACAACAAAGCTGCATCTCCAAAGTGCTTTCTGAAACAGAGTGGGAAAGGCCATAAATCAAACTGTTCTAAACGGTTAGTTTTCTAGCTACGCTATTGTGTTTTTAACTTCTCCGTTTATTTGTTGAATAAGAATTTGTTAAGCTTTATTTGTGGGATTTTTCAGTCAATACATTAATGTGAATTTTAAGATAAATTCCCAGCACCTCAGAAATCCAAGCGGAGTGAACCAACCTCGTACTCACATATCATGCACTGTGGGTTGAAACATGTAGAAGAGATAATCCTTGGAGTTTGATTCAAGCTTAATTAATGTAAAATTAAAAAGTTGAAAATGTCAGGGCTTGAACCGTCTGTTAACCCTTAATTGCGTTCACTCGATCTGTTATCAATTATTGTCAAGTCATGACAATTCAACATGTGTAACACTAGTTAGAAAACAGCTTTTTCTAGTTCAGAGTCAGTTGTAATCTGCTGTGACACAAAATTTGTAGTAATCGCAGTTTTTCACACTTTCTCTCTTGTTCTTTCCTAAGGAAATAACTGGGAATAATTCTTGTAAGGTCTAAAGAATGGTAAACCAGCTGAGTGTGCTTCTGACCAAGAAGCTTCCAAACTTGTTCGTGGGCACCATGACAAGAAAAGTGATGCAAAGAACTGTTCTTTGCTCATCAACTCTAAGAGCTCTGTCAATATTCCCTCAAAATATAAATGCAGCTAATACGAAGTGTCTCTCTGGGACAACAAACAAGTTTACTCTACCAGGTGAAAGCGTTACTTTACAATGTGTTCGGTTCTGCAATTTTTCATCAGTTTCCACTGCCTTTCCACTCAAAGAGGAAACTATAGCTCACAAAACTGTCCAAGAACTTCTTGACATATTTGCAGCATCAAAAGATTCATTAGAAAAAGAGGAATGTATTGAGTTGTTGCGCAAGATTGCAAGAGCTGTTTGGCATGACGATAACCAGAGGCTAGAACTGCAGAAGATCAGGGCAGCATCCGCAGAAGGTTGCAGTATGTTTCGACGATTGTTAAACCATATTGCTGATAGTGTAGAAGAATCAAATTTAGATGATAAACTGGTGTCCACAATTCTCTGGTCTCTTGAAAGAATTGGAGAGACCAATCATCGTCTGTACAGGAGGTTTGATAAAGGAAAGATTGTTCTTTTAAAGGTGCGCTAACTCTGGTCACTTTTGACACAACATTACTGTTTCTAAGAGTGGTTTTTAATCCCCTTGGTTAACATCTCTTCAATATTTGTAAAGGTTGCACAGTGCAGATGTGCATCTTTACTCCATTTCCCAGATCAGAAAGTAATTCTACCTTTGATGAGTTCTACAGTTCCTTGTGAATTTGTTACAAGAATATGTAGTTCATGCTGGCAATATCCTCTTTCTGATGAGTATGTATACTATCATTACCTGCTTGTTAGATAATGTATTAAAATTGTAGGGAGAAGATGCATGTCTATGACTTTTGGGGTCTGTATCACAGTATGTACATCATAAAAATCTGAGTTTGTTAAGTGCAAAACTTAAGTCAAACTTCTGTATCAAGTGTTCTTTCTGCTTGGAAAGGTCATCCAAATAAATAAACTTCAACATGTCACACGTATCAATTTGTTTTATTTCTACCTCACATACTCTTATAAAAAAACAAATGCAATTTCAAAAAGCCAGGTTTTATAATTATAATTTACAGATGTTCAAGTGCATCAGCAGGAGTATTGGTTGGTGGTTCATTTGTATCTCCTTCACCTTCCTTTGTGTCTGACATCATATCCTTCCCATTTTTAATTCATAAGAAAAATATATTGTTAATAATCTCCATAAGTCCCTGAGGTAAAGAACAATCCATAATTTCTTGCCATTTTCTTGATTGTATCTGGCATTGGTGTTTGGTATGTCTTGCAATATGTTCCAGGACCAGGTGTTTTCTATTTTGAGAAAAAGAAAGAAAACAATATGGACAACAATAAATGCCAGTATTCTGGGTATTTCTTTTGTGTACAAGTCATATACATCTTTAGATCTTGAGCTTTTTCCCTGTTTTTGTACCTCCAAAGTGACTACACCCTTGAACCTTTCAATTCAGAGTGCATTGTGCGAAAAACTTGGCTATCACATTCCCCTAGAAACAAGAAAATAAATAGCACAAAATCTACTGTTCTTGTCTTCAACCTGAGAAAAATCACACAAGGTATAACTCATAAAATTCCAGGAATTTTCATTGGTTTTAATACATTCTTAAAATAAATTTAAAATTACATTTAAACCCAACACATTCAAGAGTATGAAGTATCAATGTTACTACTAATGGTCTTTCAGTAGTATAATGGTGAACCAAAAGAAAAGCAATTCATGCCCTTACATTGATTTTCCTGACACTAAATTCTGATATGATTTTGAGGATTTTGATCTATAAAAGCTAGTACTACAACTCAATTAAGAATTCTCAGGGATTTCTTGCTCACTGAGTTAGAGCTGTGTGCCATTGCCATAGAACTCTTTCTAAACTTATATGTTTGCCATTACATACCAGCACATGAGGTTGGACAAATCTTGGAGTTTTTGACTTGAATGGAGATGTAACATTTGGTCCTTTTGGTAAAATTGGGTCCTTGGAGAGTTTGTACTCTCCAGGAGGGGGACCTTCTCTCTGTGGAGACAAAAAGTAGACACAAAAAATTATGCCATTAATATCAATTATCACAAAAGGTCTAGTAGCCTGTGAAGCAAAAAGGAAAGATATATGGAACTGACAGAGCACTGTGATATAAATTTACCAAAATCTACACACTGTGTCATTGTTTACTCCTCAACCCCTACGAGTGACTATAAGTATCTAATTTCTCATTACAGTATCCCTGGTGAATAAAACTTGAATTCCCCTGGTTTCTCAATACAAACACAGTATTTTTTTAAGGAATCACTCACTGGTTTAAAGTAGATGGTTGGGAATCTGCGCTCTTGAGACTTGAAAGCTGGGTGCCTATTAAAAAGAATGTCGTGTCAAGATAGTAAATACACAGTAATGAGAGAGTCTTGTCTATGTTTGAGCAGGTAGTTATTTCCCTGTATATTTTCAATGACAAGATTTACATTGCATGACCAATGGATGCGGATTTATTCTTTCCATCTTAAACTGAGTTACTTACTTCGAAGGTAACTTAGGCACATACTTGTACCCAGTGTAATATGTGTTTGGGCTGATTTGACTCTTCACAAACTCCTGCAATGAAAGTTAATCAATGTAGTAAGCATGAATTCAAAATACTTTTCAAAATGTTTAAAAACCAATCAAAAATTTGAATCCCAGCCAAGATCTACAGAATACCTTGTCCATGTATCCCACTAGTGCTGTTGGAGTATGATATCTGTCGCAAGACTTAAAACTGTATGTCACATGTTGTTTATTCAGCTCATCAATGGATGTTCCATGTTTGTACAGTCCTGGCATTAATTTGTCACCCTTGCGTGATGGGTCAGCATTTCTTTTTCTTCCTGCATTCTTAAATCCATATGTAGTTATCACACGTTTTCCATGCATTTCCTTGACAAAATCTTTCAGTTCATAACTTCCAGGAACAGGTGTGTCCTGAAACCATAACATAGAATATAAGTCTTCAGAGGAAACAGAAACAGACACTATTCCATTGTTAAAATGGCTTAATATGTGTCTCGTTGTTGTTCACAGCAACACATTAAAAAAGAAAAGAAAAAGAAAATATGTAGCAGACTCCATTGAAGTTGATCACCACCATCCTACCCTACCCTCCCCAATTTTATATGCCTGGATGGAGAGGCACTGAGGTATCTTGCCTAAAAACACAACACAGCAACCTGGCTGGGCCTTAAATCAGGGCTTCTCAACCCATTGTCAAGTGTGTCTGAACATATTGCCATGACTACTGAATGATTAACAATTAATCAGTAACTATGAAATTAAGAACTGATCATTTTTGTAGATTGATTTTGATTAGCAATTTGATTTTCTCATCAATATATTACATTGATTACCTCCCCAAATACACCATTCAGGTTGTCAATAGTCCAGTCATGTCAAGTTTTGCCTATTTTACCTCCCTTGAACAATTACATTTTGTGCTCTTCTATCGCAACACGTCAGATATCGGCAGACTTAAATACATCTCATCATTTTACTACCAACTTAACATCACACAGAGACTGGCGTTTGCGAAAGTAAGCTGACTTCAAGAGTATATCCAAAATAGCTTTCTAAGCTATGTACCAAGAAATAAAACCAGTGTTAGTTTTATAAATTATGGCTTCAATTATCGCGTGTTTGCCCAAACTATCAAATAAATTATTCAGAATTTCAACTCACCTTTAGCGTGGATCGCCACCACTCTTCTCTATCCGACACTGGGTCTTCATAGTACGGGCTCTTACTTCTTCTTCCAGACTATAAACATTAAAGAATTGCTTAACATATCGCTCATCAGTTTGGTGTAATTGAAATGTAAACAAATTATACAGAAGAGCTCTCATTTCCGGATCAAAGACGTTTACAGCAACCAGTGACCATGGAAAACGATAAAATAATTCGGCTTGACTTAATTTATAGCTGTTGAGAAGCTTGAAGACTTACTAAAATTCTTATGGGTGATCGAGGTTGCGAAGGATAGCCAGTGGGGCCAGATTTTGGCTCTTGCAAAAGCATCCCATTCGCAGCGTTCGCCATTTTGTGGAATTCTAGCGTGCTAGCATGTTTCCAAGGTTACCTCCTTCGAGTGGCTCCCAGGTTCTCCAGGGCACGGTTGACCTCGTCTGAACTTTCATTTCGATACAGGAAGGATTCCCAACTTTCTTGTTTTTCCAAATAAATTCAGTTTCATGAAGGATTGCTGGATTGATTATGCGTCAGAGATCTCCGTGTTTCCGTGAAATAGCTTTAGCACCTGTGATCACCCAACGAAAATTGAGTTCCAAAATGACATATTTCGATACTTCGAACTCAACCATTGCAGCTCTTCTCTTCTTTCTCCATTTTCGATCCATTCATAAAATTTAAATGCGAGATTGAAACACATATTGGTTCATATTTCAGCTGTTTCCTTTCGCGACTAAATTAATTATGTGCCTTCGGTATGACGGTTAAAAAGTAAAATGCACGACGATTCTCCGAGTTTCATTCCAAATTTCACCTCAATTTCTTTATTACATTAATTTACAAACACAACTTTTCGAGGGACCGTGTTTTATTGAGGCAGAGAATTCGAAAAAGTTAAAGGAACCTGAAATCTTCGCTAAAAAAATAGTTTTCGTGTGGAAAAACGGAAACGATTTGTTGTAGCGTGATCGATGTTTCCTACCTCTTGTTTACTGAGATCAGTAACAGTGGAAAGTGATACACAGTTTCGCAACATCCTGTTTAATTTGTTATACATTTACAATATCTACTAGAGCAGGTAAGTCTTGAAACACGTTGACCCAAATATGGGAAGCTTTTTATTTCGTTCCCATCGCCCGGGTTGATCACGCTTCATAGCAATGCATGTCTTTGTTCGGCAACTAGCTTTTCTACAGTAATTCTGATTTCCACTGAAATTAAATATTTACTCTTTTTGTCGAATTTTTTTTATCGTTGCAGACAACAGGGAATAATGGAAGAACAGCGAAATTGTTGAACAATTGGAGTATCTCTCGTCATCTGACTCAAATAATTAAATTCTCTCTGCTAAAGACAACGAAACAAAAAGGGCTATGGAAACCATTGGCTAAATCTTCACAATTACAATGGTATTTTGTGGTTTTGGCTCTAATTGAGATAACTTGTGATCAATTATTTACTGTTTGTACTTGCATACGCTGAGGAAGTATTCATTTTAGAGAGGAAGAAAGCAAACGGGTAAGTTTCGATACTTAAAAACTTTTTGGTAAATATTTCAATTGTATCCGTGTCTTGGAGACAGCTGGAAATCTTTGATAACTTCGCCCTTTCGGTATATTTAACCTAGAGCTCACTATATCTTACGGAAAATAGTCCTGCTAAATTTTTAAGGAACGACTGAGGGAAAAGAAGATAGAACTTTAGCTTCATTGCAAACTCTTCACTTTGTAAGGTCTTCATGAATTGACGTAAACTCTGGAGTTCATGATTCCTCAAGCTCTTGTATCAATTTTTGCCCAACCATATTTAAACAGAAGAGAGAAAGGGATCTTTTTTTCTAACAAAATGCGGTAATTAAAAATTTAAAGAAAATTCTTGTCAAAATTTTTCAGAGTTTGATGACGATAGTTTAGAAAAGGGTGCTATTCAAATATATTTAGCACTGATTTTCTTGATCAACAAACGAATCTTTAATGATACAACAACCAGGATTCAACAAAGACAAAATCTGATTATGATACAATGATCATTTAATTATAACAAAAAAAACTTCAGTCTAAGAACTATGATACCAGAGAATTCGTCGATTTTGATGTATCGGTCTGTA